AATGATCTTTTTGTTTTCTTAAAAGAAATGCTCATAATCTTTAGTAATAGTTCTATTTTTAGATACTGAAACTAAGGAGAATGGGCAACATTTTCCTTTCTGTCTTTGTGTTTCCTTGCAGTAAAAATGCTCATTTTAAGTTAAAAATTTATGTCATTGTAGAATAAATTTTAAACTCCCTCAAAACAAACAAACAAACAAAAAAACAACAAAAACCCACACCATTTTTATCCCCTCTGGAAAATCCCTTTAAAACAGGGGCATTCTTCATTATTATAAAGTATCTCAAGCAGTTTCCAATTAGGCTTGTTTCTTTAGAAAATTTTTTCCTTTCTGTATTTTGAAAATTTTTCATTATTCTTTTAATGTATCTTCATATCTCCAGAAATCTTATAAATACTGAGGTATTGTAGTTTTGTCTTTGACACTTGAATTACCATTTGGTTAAGATCTTTCTTGCTGCCTAACTGTAAATGATCTATCATGTTCATAGTTGTAGACCAATCAGCTATTTTGCTACCATTAATTCCCACCTCAAAGTGTTTTTCATAGCCAGGCGTTACTTTTTCTTCCCATGTACTGAAATGGTGGTAGTCAAAGAAGTAATCTGCAAAATCAAATTAATGTGTATTTCTCTTCCTTGTCCATCCAACCATATCCTCTGAACATTTCATTTTCTTTTCACAGATGTTTGACATGGTGAAGCGATTGAGAGAAAAATCTTGTTTAATTGTAGCCACTACATCCGGGTCAGACTCTATAAAGAGTGATGAGGTAATAAAAGAATAATAATGATATTTATTGCTGGTTTGAACTTTAGATATAAGAAATACTGTTTGTTAGAATGAACCTGTCACCACAACAAGACAAAGGCAAACAACCCAATTGCAAAATGGGCACAGGACATGAACAGCAGACACTTCACCAAAGAAGACATTCAGATGGCCAACAAACACATGAAGAAATGTTCAAAATCCCTAGCTCTAAGAGAGATGCAAATCAAAACAACTATGAGATTATCATTTCACCCTAGTCAGAATAGCAAAGCAGGATCAGTCCTTGGAGAGGGACGTCATGCTTTGAGGGACAGCGCAGGAAAGGAAGACCGTTGATGAGATAGATTGATTCAGTGACTGGGGTAATAGGGGTAGGTGTGTCAGAGACAATAAGATTGACACAAAATAAAGCAGGATTTAGGGCTCTTGAACATAGGATTCCTATGAGTCGCAAGTGACTCGATGGCACATAACAACAACATGATTGAATTATGGCCTAAAATCAATGACTTCTCAGTTTAATCAGTACCATTCTTTTCTTAATGAACCATAAGGTACTAAACCTTTTCAAGTTAATAAAGTATAGTGTTAGTTATGTTATGAATTTCTGTGATAAAATTATAAAGTGGAGGGAATATACATAGTCACTTTACAAAAAAAAGTATTGACTAATACTGAATTATTTTAAGACCTAGCAGATGATAGAGAACCAATGACACTGAAGGGAGAAATCTAATTTACACTGAAGGCATTGGTAAAAAAATAAATTTCTAGAATTTGGCAGGATAACAAGTGAGATTTTCTGCAAACAGGTACATCCTTGACTGTGATCTTCCAAGAAATTTGGAAGATAAACTACCTGACCAACTGACTGGAAGAAATTCATATTTGTTCCAACTTCTAAAAAGATGATCCAATAGAATGTAGAAATTATCTACCAATATCATTAATATCACATGCAAGTAAAATTTTGCTTAAAATTATTAAAAAATGCAGGCACAGTACATAGATATGGAACCACCAGAAATTCAAGCTATATTAAAAGAAAAAAACAAAACTGTGGAATATAAAATTGTTACTGCCTGATAGATCTTTGTTGAGAGCACAGACTACTAGAAAGATGTTTACTTGAGTTTTATGACTATGCGAAGACTTTCAACAGTAGTTGATAATAAATTATGGATAACGTTGGGAAGAAGGTAATTCCAGAACACTTAATTGTGCTATTGCAGAACCTAGAAACTGTAATTTGGACAGAACAAGGGGATACTGTATGATTTAAAATCAGGAAAGTTGTGTGCCAGGGTTCTATCCTTTCTCCATTACAATACAAAATTATACTGAGCAAATAATTCAAGAAACTGGATTATATGAACAAGAATGTGGCATCAGGATTGGAGAAAGACTCTTCAACAACATACATAAAATAAATGCAAAACCTTGTTTTCAGAAAGTGAAGACTTAAATACTTTCTAAAAAAGATCAGAAGCAACGGATTATACTTCAACACTAAAAAATAAAAGTCCTCAGCACTGGACCAACAGGCAGTATCAAGATAAATGGAGACAAGACTGATATTGTCAATGATGTCATTTTATAGCATCAAGAAATCAGAAGATAAGTCTGCTCTTAATGGCATCTTTAAAGGCTCAAGAATAAGAATATCAGTTTAAAGACTAAGATGCGCCTATTACAAGCCATGGTATTTTCATATGCTTCTTATACATGTGAAAGTTGGTCACTGAATAATGAAGGCTGAAGAAGAATTTGTATCTTTGAATTTTGGTGTTGGTGATGAGTATTGAAAATCCCATGGACTACCAAGAGAAGAGAGAACTATGTCTTTGAGGAAGTATAACTAGGGTGCTCCGTAGAGGAAAGGATGGTGAAACTTCATCTTATATAATTTGGACATGTTGTCAAAAGGTTCTTGAACAAAGATATCAAGCTTGGGAAAGTAGATCAGTATAAGAGAGGAAGACCCTAAAAGAGATCAATTGACACAAAATTTTGAGGATAATGCAAAGTTTCAATCTCTACTTCATAGGGTTGTGGTGAGTCATAGTCTATTTATTGGCACCTAACACAACAGCAAACATAGAATTATTAGAAACTATTATTTGTTATCAGCTATCCTTCCCAAAAGAAAATATCTGAAATTAAGTTAGACTAGAAAATAATTTTGACAGTGCATTTAGGAGTTAATTCTTAGACAGTAATTGATTTAAATGGACTGCACTGCAATCCTGAAGGCATACAGTTCAAATCCACCAGCTGCTCTGCAGGAGAAGGATGGGCAGTATCCTCCCGTACACTTGCTGCTTCTGAAAACCCATTGGAGAGTTGGCTATGGGTTGGTTCCAACCCAAAGACACACAACAACAGATTTCAATAGTTACATTGTTAGCAAATGTTTTCAAACTTGATTTTATGTAGTTTTACATCTTGATGTACTTACATTGAGTATAAGGACACTTTATTAGCTAATTAAGTTACTTAGTCTTTTACTTTCTTTAACAACAGCTCAATATGCAGTTAGCTGTATGGTATGATGGAACCTATAATGCTTCTTTTGACTGGATTAGTATTATAGGCTAATCCATTTTTTTTCAAAGTCTTATATTTAGAAATTCTGGCTGAATAGATAAATATATAAAACAGTATATATATATATATATATAAATAGAGAGAGAGATATATTCTAACAAGGTGTTTTGCCCAATTTTGTATTTCAATAACCAGATTACTCATGATAAAGAGAAAGCAGAACGAAAAAGAAAAGCAGAAGCTGCTAGACTACATCGACAGAAAATCATGGCTCAGATGTCTGCCTTACAGAAAAACTTCATTGAAACCCATAAACTCATGTATGATAATACATCAGAAATGCCTGGAAAAGAAGATTCTATAATGGAGGAAGAGAGGTAAAATAAACTTAAGGAAAAAAATTAGCAACTCCATGTTTTATAGGAAAAATTAATATTTACTTTTAATCATCCTTTTCCAAAATGCATTTTATTGTTAACAAAGTTACTCTATTTTTAAGCTAGAAAAGTCAGAGTGAAAGCTTTAATATACTTGTTATTATTTATATATTTTAAGTTTTATATTGATAAATTACTTAATTGTACAATAAAGTTGCAGGTTTTGTGCATAAAAAAGAAACTGCATTGCTGGCACAAAAATACGCAAATTGAACCCACCAGCTACTCTGTGGGAAAAAGATAGGAAGTTTCCTCTTGTGCAATTTACTGCCTCTGAAAACCTGAGGGTCAGCTAAGAGTTGATTCTGACTCAATATTCTGACTCAGAATTCCTTAAGAAAAAAGGAAACTTTCATTACTGGCAAAAGCAAATAAAACTAGAAATTAATAAAACTTTAAACAAGCAGAAATATCAAGCTTCTTAATATATTAACAACAGATTATTAAAAAGTAGAGACTACTGTCTAAGCATCAAACTAGAACAAGGTATATACTGAGACAAGTAAAAGCTTTAGTGTTGTGAAGTTGAGGTGTTTTGTTTTAGACCTCTTTCCATGTATTTATAACCACACAATGAAATGTGCAAGGAGCTGGAGTCAGAAAATCAAAAGGGCCGAACTCGCTCAGCATTTCTTAAGCTCAAATAACTGAAGAACAAATTCAAACCTCGAGTTGTTATAATCAAGGATGCTTTAGGCAGAATATTAAATGATCCTGAAAGTTTTAAAAGAAGATGAAAAGAATATACTGAGTCACTGTATCGAAAGGAATTGGCAGACATAGAAGAATTTAATGAAACAACATATGAGCAAGAGCTTTGAAGGAAATAGCAAAAAATAAGATCCCAGGAATAGATGGTATACCAATTGATGTATTTCAACTAACAGATGCTGCCCTGGATGTGCTCACCAACTAGTGCCAAGAAATCTAGAGAGCAACTAGTTGGCCATTTGACTGGCGGAGATCTATATTTGTTCCCATCCCAAAAAAGGGTGACCCAACAGAGTGTGGAAACTATAGAACAATATCATTGATTTCACATGCAAGCAAGATTCTACTGAAGATTATCCAAAAATGACTGGAACAGCACATCAGCAGAGAACTGCCTGAAGTCCAGGCTGGGTTTAGAAGGGGTCGTGGTACTAGGGATAATGTAGCTAACATTAGATGGATCTTAGCTGAAAGCAGGGAATACCAGAGGAATGTATATCTGTGTTTCATTGACTGTGCAAAGGCGTTTGACTGTGTGGGTCATAACAAACTGTGGCTAACTCTGAGAAGAATGGGAATCCCAGAACACTTGATCATGCTAATGCGGAACCTATACTTGAACCAAGAGGCAGTCAGAACAGAGCAAGGAAACACTGCATGATTCAAAATTGGGAAGGACGTACACTAGGGAGGTGTTGTGTCACCATACCTTTTCAACCTGTATGCAGAACAGATTATCCGGGAGGCTGGGCTCTATGAGGAGAAATGTGGCGTCAGGACTGGTGTAAGATCGATCAACAATCTGCATTATGCAGATGACACAGCCCTACTTGCTAAAACTGAGGAGGGCCTGAAGTGCTTGCTGCAGA